CCCCCCTCCAACTCTTAGATAAAATGATATGATTAGACACATCATCAAGCTATAGATCTCAGTTTAATGACGTACAGCACAGTATAGATGGAGATAAATCTTTTATTGAGCTTTTCTCAGTGCTTGTGACTTTTTCTTGAGCTGTAGTAAGTTAGTGCTATCGACACTGCTGCTTCACTGGGCTGTGCCTTGCTGGCTCTTCTCTTTTAGGGCAGCGACAATTTCAAGATGTGCCCGTTTCAAGATTTGCATGTTTCTGTGGACTTGTTCGCCGAATATTTTTCAAATGTGTTCTTTTCACTTCCCTTTCAGACTCAGTTGGAAGGAATCATAGCTCCGAAGAAGTAAACCAGTGCAGCACTGACGAGACCAACGACAACTTGTTGAAAGTAGGGGAAGTGGGAGGAGAGGGGGGAGTTGGCGGAGAGGGGAAAGTTCACGGAGAGGGGGGAGTGGGTGGAGTGAAGGGAGTTGGCGGAGAGGGGACAGTTCATGAAGAGGGGGGAGTGGGTGGAGTGAAGAGAGTTGGCGGAGAGGGGACAGTTCACGGAGAGGGGAAAGTTCACGGAGAGGGGGGAGTGAAGGGAGTTAGCGGAGAGGGGGGAGTGGGGAAAGTTCACGGAGAGGGGGGAGTTGTCAAAGAGGGGGGAGAGGGGGAAGTTGGCAGAGAGGGGGGAGGAGCAGACGCGGCAGAATCGGCCAGCGAGGCAGACCAGGTTTCCAGCAATGACTCGGGCTTCGTGGAGGGGACACTCAAAGAAGGGGACGGCGGGGCAGAATCCAGCACAAGGGAGGGAACCAACAACACAAGTCTCTCCTCTACCTCCGGATAGACGGACAGATGAGAGGAATTTTTAACCGCACAATGTATGTGTGCGGCATCTCAGAAAACAACATTTTTGTCAGTTTTTCCATTTTACTCTCCCAACTGTCCGTCACAATAATCATGAGTGAGTCTTTTGGGTTTTTTTTTTCCCCCAACCAGCTGTGTTTCTAAAGTAGTTGTGTTGTCTTTTGCTGTCTACTTTCCATACAGAGAGGTGAAGCTCAGCAATTATGTATAATTTTGCTGCCTGTACTCGTTATAACCACATTCCCAGATGGGGTCATGGCTCTGATCTATGTTGTCGATGTATTCTTGGGATTCTCAGGAAAAAAAAAGATTATACTTCTTTTCAGTGAGAAAGACTTTCAAAGTTTGCATTGGAAAGTTTCAGAATGTTGAGTGGACATGGGACACTTGTGCTGGGCTAATCTGGTCCGTTTTCCTAGAGCCGAGATATTGGAAGTGACAGCCTGTATACTGATACCGCGTCCTCTTCCCCCGGATGATGATGTTTTAGTAAGAGTTTTACGGCACTTGCAACACAATAAGGTCATATAAGTGCCGAAGATTAGGGGTATTACAAGAGAGTAACAAACACAAAAAAGAAGATGGGGAGATAAGGACGTTAGATGTTTGATAGGAAAAAAGGAGCAAACCACACCAGAGCACCCGCCAACAACCCACCTTCCCCTGGATGAAGAACTTGATGCTCTATGTGAGAGAGGGACTAAAGTGTTTGGGATGGGGGGGGGGGGGGGGGGGGGGGGGGTAACACTCCTGTTGAGAAAAGTATTCTTTCATCATAAGGCCAAATGAAATGTTTCAAGACAGAAGAGTTCTTAGGGAACGGTTGTCCTACTATTCTATCAGATCATCCCGTTTGTACAGTCAGAAGTTTGAGTTGTACTGTGATATATGCATATAAATGTCAAATATACATTTCTACTCCTCCATTTGGGTTCTGTTTTGTCTGAAAATTCTGAATGTATGTGTTTTTTTTACGCCACACACACACACTACACACACACTACACACACACACTACACACACAAATACTACACCACACACACAAACACATACTACACCACACACACAAAAACACACTACACAACACACACCAACACAGCTAGACAGACATGAAACTCATGGACAATGACGTCAGAAATGATGACGCAAAAATTCCAATTTACACACAAATACTACACCA